GGAGTTTCGTCAAAACTCAAAAAAGTGGATTTTTGAGAATTTTTATCATAAAACAACACAGAAATAACAACCCAACAAGATTTTAATCTAATCAATCTCAAAAATAGCAAATTTTGGAGCAATTTTTAAGAGATTTTGAAAGTTTAAAAATAATTTTTTAAGCTATGGATCGCGATTTTTCTTGGCACAAAAATGTGTGATTTTTGTATTAAAAACAACATAAAACAGTGAAAAAACAACAGGGGAACTAAAACCCTCAAATCAATTTTCGTTCTACATCAATGAAACAATATCAATTTAAAGAAAGATTAAAATTTTCATAATATGAATATTATATTTCGTAACAATACATTCATGAACGAAATCCCTTCACTATAAGAATCGATTTCAAACAATTTTTGTATCAATAGATAACTAAAAACTCGTTTTTCAAAACCCTAAAGCAATTTAAAGTTTCAATGTATCGATTGAAAATAATTTAAATTTTTTTCTAAACTTTCATGTAATAAAACACATAAATTCAGATTTAAAATTTTCTTAAAATACTCAATGAAAATATGCATATGATATATGGTTAGAAAACTCTCATCACGTAGAACAAAAACCCCAAGGTTTCCAAGATCAATTGCAAAAAATTCCAAACGAAATTTTATCATGAACTTTAGTATCTATAAGCAAATTTAGAATTATTTTAATAAAAAAAAATTGGGTCTTATAATCATATATGAATAGCTCTGATTCCAAATGAAGAAGATAATTTTCAACCCATTAATCAAACCCAAGAGCATGAACGAGAAAATGCTAATGCGTGGAGGACTATTATAGCTTTAGATATGTGGAGAGCTATTGCTTAGTAATTTTGAATGTTTGTTGAAAATTATATTATATTTTACTGATTGAGAAAATTATATTATGTTTTACATTTTTTTATTAATATCATTGCATTACTTTGTTATTTTTTTATTGACTCTTGTAATTTTGAATGTTTATTAAAAATTCATATGGTTTTTTAAAATCTTATAAATCCCTATTGTCCTTTCAAATCTTATAAATTCTATTAAAATCCTTTAAAATTCAATCTTATGAAATCTTTTAAAAACGTCTTTAAAGTCTCTCTAATTCTAAATAGTCTTTCAAAATCTATAAGATTTTTTATCTCAAAAAAAAGTCTTTTAAAATTTTAAACCAATTCACCCCTCTTAAAAGCTCAAGATAGTTAGATAAGGTTTTTAAAAATAATAAAAAATGTAAAAAGTAATTTTGATTATTTCTGTAAAGTTAAAAAAGTAATTTGCAAAACTAAGTGTGTGTATATATATATAAGGTAGTATTCTTTGACATCAGTTTCAAATTTAAAGTTTGACACCTCATCTGAGAGCCATTAGATCAAAAAAGATCAATGGTGTCACATGCTTACAAATCAGAGTCATTGATCTTTTTTGATCTAATGGCTCTCAGATGAGATGTCAAACTTCAAATTTGACACTGGTGTCAAATGATCCTACCTCTCTCTCTCTATATATATATATATATATATGTGGGTCAGGATCATTTTACACCAGTGTAAGTTACACTCTCAATCATGTCCGTTGATCTCACTTATATTTAAGGGCTCAAATTTTTTAGTAATGTGAGTCATTGGATACAAGTGGATCAATGGTCAAGATTGAGTGTAAGACTTCTAACTCTTGCACCGGTGTAAGAATATCCTGCCTCTATATATATATATATGTATATATATGGAGTTAACATTTATTCGACTGCTTGACGTTCAACAGGCAATTATTTACCATATATATAAGTGACAATATTAAATGTGGGAAATCAAAACCATACACTTGTCGTTGTTGAATGTCAAGCAGCGGGAGAAATTATTTACCATATATATATAGGGAAAAATGTTTCCACAGTTAAAGCAGAGAAGTTATCTGCATTTATTCCTAAAACGACGTCGTTTTGGTATTGAAATCTTAAAAAATTATAAATATAAAGACTATTATAACCCTAAAATAAATTAAAATTATAAAATAAAATTATAAAAACACCATGATTTCCGTCCCAAAACGACGTCGTATTGGCTTACTGCAAATAACTTATCTGCAGTAAGTGCAGAAAAAACGAACTCATATATATATAAATATATATTGGGTTCCTTGTTTCTGCTATTGCTGCAGATGGAAAAAGTTGCAGCAAACATATTTACACTATGATATGAAGCTGGATCCTGCAATAAAAAAATAAAAAATTCCAGGATACAGATCCAGATCTTCTTGGAAATAACTGCAAATTTTCTGATCTACAGCAGCAACATAATTATTAAAGCCATATATATATATATATATATATATATATATATATATATATATATATATATGGGAAAAATATTTCTCTGGCAACTTGAGATAAGTTTATCTCCAGCCACCCCAAAACTACGTCGTTTTATTTATTTATATTAATTGATTCACCTTTGAATGGTTATGATTCTTTTTTTCTCTCTTTTCCTTTATCACCATTGATCCATCTTTGTATAGTTATGATTAAGTAGTCGAAGATAATTTTATCTCCGGCAGCTTGAGAAACGATAAGCCATATATATATATATATATATATATATATATATATATATATATATATATATATATATAGGGAACAACATTTCTCAAGCTGCTTGAAATAAGTTTATCTTCGGCTACTCCAAAACTACGTCGTTTTATTTATTTATTTTCTTATATCAATTGATTCACCTTTGAATGGTTATGATTCTTTTTTTTTTCTCTCTTCCTTTATCACCATTGATCCATCTTTGTACGGTTATGATTTAATAGCCAGAGATAAGATTATCTCAAGCAGCTTGAGAAACGATAAGCCCATATATATAATGGTGTAAGAATTAGAAGTCTTACACTCAATCTTGACCATTGATCCACTTGTATCTAATGACTCACATTACTAAAAAATTTGAGCCCTTAGATGTAAATAGAATTAACGGACAAGATTAAGAGTGTAACTTACACTGGTGTAAAATGATCCTGACCCTATATATATATATATATTGGAAACCAAACCAAGTATATATATATTATACTTAGGGTTTTATAAAAGTTATGTTGTAGGAAAAGTGATTGTGTAATGTTATAGAGATTCGTTTTGCGTGCCTTAATTTTTTATTTATTTTTTTGTTTTAAAAAGTGTGGGCCCCACAAAATGTTGTGAGAGTAGGAAAGTTTGTTATGTTATGTTAAAGGATAAAATGAAAACCCTTATACTTGTCTAAAAGGAACCAGAATTGATAAGTTTCTATGATATGACTATACCAAGGCATTCCGTGCCCCCTCATAGGTCTCAAAATTATCTAAAGGGACCTAGAATTGGTAAGTTTCTATGATATGACTATACCAAGGCATTCGGTGCCCCCTCATAGGTCTCAAAATTATCTAAAGGGACCCAGAATTGGTAAGTTTCTATGATATGACTATACCAAGGCATTCGGTGCCCTTCATAGGAGTGAAATTTTACTGCACCCGGTACACAAGAGATTCGGTGGGAGAAACCAATGAGAATCTGGCATTTTTTATGCAAACAGTACGGAGAAGAGATAATTTTGTATTGTTAATTCAGGTGGCATGCTTTTAGTGGAAGTCCCATCGTACCCCCTGTGCACTTTAAATATTTCTCCCTCATAGGTCTCAAAATTCAACTGCTGAAAGAGTTAGGTGTTTTAGGTTACCGGTCAATTCATCTTAAACCAAACATTTTCAACTGCCGTCTCATCCCTCCCCAAATGAACTAGCTAGTTAATGTTTTTAGTAACATAATAAGAAGTTAAGTACCCAAGTAAAGACAATTTGACTCCGTTGCCGGTTGCTATCCCTAGAGATTCCCTATTTCAATAGGTAAAGGTATATACTGCTAGCACACTTGTTAACTTGAAATTATTTTGACTTGTACACTATAGTAATGCAGCACAGACTTTCTTACATGCATCCGAGTGTGCACCGAGTGTCATACAAATTTATTTTTAGGGGTTTGCATTTCTCGTTTAACATGACACAACAAATTTTTCTACACATACAATTTTGTGGAGCTCATATTTTTTGAAGAAAAAAAAAAAATTACGACATGCAAAACGAATCTCTATAACATTAGACAATTACTTTTCCTATAACATAACTCTTATTTTTATCATTAATTAAGTCCTTGCAAGAGGCAAACTCAGTATTTTTTTCTCTGGCCAAAGTTTTAACTTTTAAAATCATGGCAACCCAGAGCCTAAACAAAGTGCAAACGAACACAATTATTATTATTATTTTTTTCTGCTGAATCGTTATCCCAAGAAGAAAGAAAGCGTAATTGATTTGCTTGAACAATTTCGCTATTTTATTATGCCTCCGAAAGCAATGAATAATTTCTTGATGTTGACATGGTGGATCCTTCTCTTGAGAATTAGATTATATTCACATCCTCTGCGAAGAACAATTTTGTTTCTGAATTATTTTTTAAATCTTTCTGCTGGGCAATTTATGAGCAGATATAGATGCCATCCATTACAACACAATTAATGGGCCATCCGCTAAGACTGAGCACAATGTCAAGAGCATCTCTCTAATGAGGAAGCTCGAATCTTGCTCTGCATCGTTAGCATATGCAAGTGCAACCTACCAGTGGTGATACATATGGAGTTTGATTCTCTCTTTCTCCTTAATCCTTATATTACGCTTGTTTAAAAGAGAAAAACAACCCAAAGTATTTATTTTTTGGGTTAAAAAGTAAACGAGAAAAAAACAAGATCATTGTTATTATAAAATTTATTAACTGCAAGCAAAAACTACATAATTCATACTTCATGCTGTGTTTCCAAATCATGACATAAAATATGCAATTCCATAAGCAAAGAAAAACATCAAATACTCACACTCAAATACTAAAAAGAAAATGAACTCTTGACTCCGTTGATGATTAAAGCTCAAGGTTGGAAGTCTTCTTGGTCATTCTGGTTCTGGTTACTCGCCGTTGTTTTTGAAGTAGAATTTTTCATTGAAAGCATCGTTGTTGTTCTGATTTTCCTTTGAGTCGTATTTTCCTTCTGCGTACTTTGTGTGACTCAAATAATTTTGCTTATCACCAAAAGCATCCTTGTTGATGTAGTAGTTGTTGTTGCGGTAAGGTGTCCCTGCGAGTCTTGTGTCACTGACTTCATCTTGGTTGGTGGTATATGCATCGTTGTTGAAGTTGTAGAAATCAGTGTCGGGGTAGTTGCTGACATCTTTCTTAGACTCCGTTTTGTACGCCTGGTAAGTGCTGCTGGGGTTGGTGGTGATGGAAGGGTTCTGACGAGACTCATAGCTAAATAGATCATAGTTTTTTTCAGTCTCTGGGATGAAGACTGGCTTCTGTTCTGGCTTGTTTAGTGGTTCTTCATTGATGGGAAACTCTGTATCTTTGGCATTGTTGTTGAAAAGGACTTCCCTGTTTCTCAAGAACTGGCTGCCTCTGGCATTGATTTGCAGAGACAACAAAAGGGTTGTTAAGAAAAAGAATGGGATGAATTTTGAGATGGGAGCCATTGATGAATGATGATAGTGAAAGAGAGGAAGATGGTATGACATGCTGTGGTTGTTCAAGTATGTTTATATATATAGAGGATTTTGAACCTTTCTTCTCCCTTTCTCAATTTTATTACAAATCAAGTGCGATCGGGAGGGAGGATTTTGCGATGATTGTGGTCCTCATTAAGAGAAACTTTACCTGATTGAAATGCACCGTTGTCAATCATCACCTTGTGATTGATAATTTTGATTTATTATGCATTTATTCTTGTTATTTGATTCTTAGTTTAGGTTAATTTCATTTTGTGCTTATTATATTATTTGTTTCCTAATTTAGATTGATTAGGTCCATAAGTCACTCAATCTTAAATATTTTGTTCGCCTATTTATATGATTATAGTTTTATTTCCGGGATTCGATTGGCAAATTCCGTTAAATTTTAACCATTTTCATGGAATTAACGAAAATTCCAGAAGAAATACAAAAGTTCTGATTCTGCATGCCCTTCAATATATTTATTTTGTTATTAATTATACATATAACTCTTGATTTGTTATGGAGTGAGAACCATGTTTATTTCTTAATTGTGTAAAACTGTTACGGACTCATCATAGAGACTTACATTCTAAAAGATCTAATATGGGTAATAGTAAAAAGGAAACTAGGGAAAATAAATGAAAGGATCATATTAATCTACGACAATAATGGATCAAGCACTGTACCCTCAAAAAGTCACTAAAAGTCCAAAATTTCATTATCCACATATAAATTATATAATTAAGAGATAAAATTTGTGTGTATAACACTTACACATTTTTTCTAATTGTTATCACGATGCACAGACACCATCCAGCTACCTAAGAGAGCCTAGAGATCCAAGATCAAATCACTAGTTTCTGACTAAATATTTCTATCCAAAGGATAGAACAAAAACAATATCTTTATAAATTATAAATTTTATTGTGCAAAAGACCCTAATTATTTAACTCAATTATCCCTTTGGCCTTATCTAAATCATTATCCTCACATTATATTATCACTAGCCATAATATATATTGTTTTTCCACATAAAAAAGAGACTTTTGATGACATTACAAATAATTCGAATTAATACTTCTTTGTATATGATAGCAATGAAAAAATAAAAAAATAAAAGATGGAAGCCTGTTGATTTATGGCTTGCCATGCTCAATTGTCGTCCGTATCGTAAGAGCCTTCGTATAGTCATGCAATCTTGAACTCTGTGCAATGTCGATTTAATTTTAAAACAAAATTCTTTATCATTTTTTTATATCAAAAAATACTTTTTAAAAAATTTGTTTTCAACTTTCGTTAATTAATTCACGTGACAATCTGCGATGTTGATTGCGTGGTAGGTCACCCTCAAGTGTTGTATGCTTCGTAAGGATAAACGTATAGCTATGCTATCTTACATCCTGTGCATGTGTGGGTTAATTAACTTTCAAAAGTTTTAAATTTAACAAAACCATAAATTTTTTCTTAAGATGATTTAGCTTTGAGTTCCTCATTACACCCGAAGATATGTCGGAGCAGGATTTTTCTGTCAAGCTCAAAATAAAATCTTTATATTTCAATTTTCTTTTCTTGTAAATATTCATCTTGTTTTACTCTGGTTAAGCAAATATTCCAAAATTATTAAAGATTTGCACAACTAATTTAAAGTAACCATTTTTAAATGGATATATCAGTGGTATAGTGAGATTAAGTTTTCACCCATCATTATGCATAATCAGGCTCCCAAACCTTGATTTATAGACCAATTTTGCTAAAATAAAATGTGTTTTAATTTTTCAAATTTAAAAGAAATTGGTGACGACTCCGTATTTCTTTTTATTTTCTGAAATAATTCTGGGTTGTACAAAAGCAATGAATAATTACTTGGTGTTGACATGGTGGATCCTTCTCTTGAATTAGATTTTATGCACATCCTATTCCTCTGTGAAGAACATTTTTGTTTCTGAATTATTTTCTTAAGTCGTTCTGCTGGGCAATTTATTAGCAGATATAGATGTCTTCCATTACAACACAAGTAATGGGCCATCCGCTAATTAAGACTCAGCACAATGTCAAGAGCATCTCTCTATTTTTGGTGTAAGAAACAGTGATCCATCATCCATATATAATTTCTAATGAGGAAGCCCTAATCTTGCTCTGCATCATTAGCATATGCAACCTACTAGTGATGATACATATGGAGCTTGATTCTCCCTTTCTCCTTAATCCTTGTATTACGCTTGTTTAAAAGAGAAAAATAACCCAAAATATTTCTTTTTTGGCTAAAAAAGTAAACGAGAAACAAATTATCAAGATCATTCTTTTTATAAAACTTATTAACTGCAAGCGAAAACTACACAATACGTACTTCATGCTGCGTTTGACATAGACAGTGCAATTCCAGAAGCAAGATTTAATAAAATTACCACCAAGTAAAACCCCTCCATAAATAATAACCTTACCCTTCAACTTTTTTTCTTCTTCCAGAATTTTAATCTAAAACAAAGAAAAACATCAAATACCCACACTCAAATACCAGAAAGAAAATAAAATCTTGACTCCGGTGATGATTCAAACTCAATGTTGGAAGTCTTCTTGGTCATCTTCGAACTCCTCCCACCAGTTGGATCAGTAACCTATTGCCCCAATACCTCGATTGAATCGATGACTGGTTCAAGATTAATAACATTGTGTTAGAGTCTTCCTCCTTAATTAATTTTGGTTGGCTACGAATTTTAATATAAAATTAGAATATTAAATTGTGGAAGTCTCCATGCTTTAAAATCCCCCTAATAATTAGAGAATTATCTATAGTACGGAAGAATGCTCCCTTGACCATCTATAATAGGGAAAAAAATATGGATGATGAATTACTCTAGAAAGTGAGAAAGAAATCTCTTCCAAAATAGAGAATAATCCAAGAGAGATAAACTTGTTGGAATTCATCCTATTTGTGGGTGAGGTGTTGTGTAACTTGTACCGGAGAACAAAGTACTCTTTCTAATCCTATTTTCTATAATGGGCATTTTCTTGGACCACTGGTCCTATGGTTTTTAATCCTCTTTATCGAGGGAGTTTTTCATATTAAAAATTTGGTAGTGTGCTTTATATCTATTTTCTAATTTTCCTCTGTTTACACTTTGTTTTCGCTTCTCTAAATCACTCTTGTTACCCAACTGGATGACTGATCTATTCATGACAGATCCTGGTAAAAAGCATTGCAATACTATTTAGGGGATGGTAAGATACATTAAAGAAATATCAGGTGCTGCATTATGTCGTGGAGAATATGTTGATTCAAGTTTTATATGTGATCTTGATAAAATAAAATTCACTATACATTATGTGTTCATACTTGCAAGAGGAGCAACAAGTTGGTTATCAAAATTATAAATTATTACTTATAAGTCTATGAAATACAGAAATTGAAAACATTGCAACTAATCAACTTTACAAGGAAGTGATTTGGATTCAAAAATTAAAAAAAGAATTCGATCATAAATAACAAAAGATTTGTATATTATAATTATTAAAGTGCCTTGCCCATTTTCAAGAAATTCATCAAATTGACCACATTAGAATTTCATGTTGCATTATTAGAGAAATAGTTAATTAAGGAAGTGTGGATATACAAAAAAATTCATATCAAATATAGGAGAATGATATACTTACCACTAAAAAAGTTTATCACTTTTACAACCAACCTAATCACCGTTGATTTTCTTCAATCTAACGGTTATAATTTATTGAGAATAGTAATTAATTAATAAATGTGATTTCCAATAAATTATAACTGTTAGATTGACGAAAATTAACGGTGATTAGGTTGGTTGTAAAGGCTGTAAACTTTTTTGGTGATAAATATATCATGCCCCTCAAATATAACCTGGCAAATATTTTGACAAAGTAATGAATGTTGTTAAGTTTTTATGTTGCTGATCCTCCTATGACTTATACGGATTGTAAGTAGCATGAGATATAAAAAATATAATTTAAAAGATCACCAAAAATTATGTTAAGTGGAGATTATTAAAAAAATAACAAGTAAAACAGCTTTTGTCAAACAGTGGCAAGCAAAATTTTTGGTCATAAGTTAAAAGGGAAGAGATTCTCTATTTTTTGGTGGCATTAAAAGGGAGAGGTCAAGTTTTATATAAAGGTCCCCTTCATACAGATAATTCTATGAGTTCCTTTATACACTGCTTTAAATTTAGTGATATCACTAAAACTCGTAGAAATTGTGTTTGCTGACACTAGCTAATCACTCTTTCGGTGTTATCGGAATGTTTTTCAAGAAATAACTTTAAATACCAAGAGTCTAATTAATTAAAAGAATTACATCGAATATCAAAATTAATCAATCATAATAATTTAAATACAAATCACACACTAATTAGACTTGGTTACCACATTAGTCATTATTCAAATCAGTTAAGATAAATACAATCTCCAAAATAGCAATTAATATTAAGCTAAATTGAAATTCAAATTTATGACCATTAATACCAAGATACGTCTAATTGTCAAAATAATTACTTTAAATACCGTCTAATCGTCAAAATAATTACTTTAAATATCAAAGTTAATCAATTTATATCAATCAATTCAAATACCCATCACATTCTAATTAGGTCTATTTACCTAGTTATCATATTCAATCATGACAAATAAAATATAATTGTATCAAAGTTAATCAATTTATATCAATGAATTCAAATACCCATCACATTCTAATTAGGTCTAATTACACAAATTTAGTGTTTCACGTTAATAAAACTATTTGCAAAACCCCAAAACGCTCAAAATTTTCTCCATCTCATATGTAGTCACTTTTCGAATAGGTTTTCATGCTCATAAATTTTTCCGATTTTAGGGTGTATATAATTTTTTTAAAAGAAAAAATAAATCTTTTAAGCAAAATTATAACTAAAAAGCTCAAGATAATTAGACAAGGTTCTAAAAATAATTAAAATTGTTAAAAATTTAAGAGAATAATTCGTTTACAATTTTTTTTTAAAATTTTTGCAAATTACACTATGTACTTCCGAAAGCACACAACGTAGTTTATAAGAGTTTGTAGACAAAAAAATTTGTAAATATAAAATTTTCCATATATATATATATATATATATATATATATATATAGAGAGAGAGAGAATGTTTTATTTACAAACTTACTTTTTATTTATAAACTACACTGTATCTGACCGGTCATACTTCAATCAAGAGTGTATGACGGATCATATTTAGTGTAATTTGTAAAAAAAATTGTAAACGAATTATTCTCATATATATATATATATATATATATATATATATATATATGGAAAATATTAAACTCATGTTATATGAGATTATTATCTCATGCACCATATACAAATTGAACGTGGGACCCATTTTAAATTTTTTCTCTCCCTTATTCTCTCTCCTCTCTCTTCCATCTGTGAGTGTAGGAGATTGCTTTTCTCCTATGTTAAATGAGACAAACAATACCCTATCGTTTCTCAAGCTGCTTGAGATAATTTTATTTCCGGCAACTAAATCATAACCGTACAAAGATAGATCTATGGTAACAGAGGAAGAGAGAGAAAAAGAGAATCAAAATCATTCAAAGGTGAATCAATTAATATAAGAAAATAAATAAATAAAACGACTTAGTTTTGAAGTAGCCGGAGATAAACTTAGGGTTCGCTTTTTCTGCAGTTACTGCAGATAACTTATTTGCAGTTAGGGGTGAAAGTGGGCTGGGCTGGGCCGACCTTTGCCCCGAAAAGCCCAAGCCTACGTCCAAAAATTTCAATTTGGCCCGGCCCAAGCCTAGTATGAGTCTAACTGTTAGCCTGGTTTGGCCCGTTTATGAAAAAAAAACAAATGGCCTGTCTTGGCCCGTTAGCCTGTTAATTTTTAACTTCCAAACAGAACCATGAATCAACTTTACAAAGTACTCAAATTCTGTTGCTACACCAAAAATCATAATTTCAACGTCCAAACAGAATCATGAATCATAACAAAACTAATACAATATGCATTTAAGTCATGTTCAAAAGCAAAATGCTCAAATTAAATAACATATATTTTTTTAGATCCAACAAACAAATCCATACTATGTAAATTAAAATAACTACATGAATCCAACAAACATATCATTATGCTTGTAGTAAGTATAACCTCTGCCAATTTTTTTTTAATATATTCATATACACAATCTAACATGTTGAGATGTTGGTTCCTCTTATATAAGAAATAAAGTAAGATTTCTATTAAAATATAATCGAATATGATTAAGTTATAAATAATTGCAATTGATTAAATTTATATCTTTTTTTTTCTTCAAGGCATACTTACTCTATTTTATTTTATTTTATTTAAAATAAATAATACAATATAGGCCGACCTGTAGGCTTATAGGCTCGGCCTTTTGAAAGAGAGCCTACGGCCTTTTGATTAAACAGGCTTTTTTAAGATCCGAGCCCGTCCTATTATACAAAATATACTAGGTCAGGTCTAGCCTTATATAGGCCGAGCCGTAGGCCCCTATAGGCCGGCCCGGCCCAGTTTCACCCCTATTTGCAGTAAGTCAATAGGACGTCGTTTTGGGACGAGAATCATGATGTTTTTGTAATTTTAATTTATTTCAGAGTTATAATAGTCTTTATATTTATAATTTTTTAAGATTTCAATACCAAAACGACGTCGTTTTGAGAATAAATGCAGATAACTTATCTGCATTTACTGCAAAAATATTTTTTCCTCAACTTATCTCAAGATGCTTAAGAAATGTTTTTGATATATATATATATATATATATATATATATATATATATATATATATATATATATATATCTAAAGGGACCCTGAATTGCTAAGTTTCTATGACTATAACAAGGGATTCGGTGTCCCCTCATAGGCCCCAAATTCAACTGCTGAAAGAGTTAGGTGTTTTAGGTAACCGGTCAATTCATCTTAAAACAAACATTTTCAACTGCCGTCTCATCCCTCCCCAAATGAAATAGTTAATAATTTAATATATATCCTTAGTAAAATAATAAGTTAATTAAGTACAAGTAAAGACAAATTGACTCTGTTGGCTGGTTGCTATCCATAGAGACGCCCTATTTCAATAAGTAAAGGTATATACTACTATAGCACCCTTGTTAACACGAAATTATTTTGGCTTGTACACTGTATAGGTATGCAGCAGAGACTTTCTTACATGCATCATAGTGTGCACCAAGTGACATGCAAATTTATTTTTATCATTAATTAAGTCCACGCAAGAGGCAAATTCAGTATTTTTTTTCTCCGCACGAAGTTTTAAATATTTAAAATCAAAGCGACCCAGAGCATAAATAAAGTGCAAACGAACACAATTATTATTATTATTATTAGAAGAATGTTCTATTTAAAAAAAATTTATTTACAAATTTTTATAAATTATATTAAGTATGACCGGTCAAATTTAATATAATTTGTTTAAAAAGTTTGTAAACTGATCATTCATTTTATTATTATTATCTTCTGCTGAATCGTTATCCCCCGAGGCAAGAAAGCGCAATTGATTTCCTTGAACAATTTCGCTATGTTAATTATTATGCCTCCGTTAACTAAAGCAATGAATAATTACTTGGTGTTGACATGGTGGATCCTTCTCTTGAATTTGATTTTATGCTTATGCAAATCCTCTGTGAAGAACATTTTTGTTCTGAATTATTTTCTTAAATCGTTCTACTGGGATAATTTATGACCAGATATAGATGCCATACCATCCATTACAACACATAATTAATGGGCCATCCGTATATATATAATTTCTAATGACGAATTAGCTCTAATCTTGCTCTGCATCATTAGCATATGCAATCTGCTATTGAATAATAGATTACGCTTGTTTAAAAGAGAAAAATAACCCAAAGTATTTCTTTTTTGGGTAAAAAAGTAAACGAGAAAACAAATTAACAAGATCATTCTTATTATAAAACTTCCAAACTGCAAGCGAAAACTAAACAATTCATACTTCATGCTGCGTTTCCAAATCATGACATAGGCAGTGCAATTCCATAAGCAAGATTTAATAAAATTACCAATAAGTAAAACCACTCCATAAATAATAACTTCACCCTTTATTTACAAAAAAAAAAAAATAACTTCACCCTTCAACTCTCTTTTTTTCCGATATTTAATCTAAAACAAAGAAAAACATCAAATACTCACACTCACATACTAGAAAGAAAATAAACTCTCGACTCCATTGATGATTCAGGCTCAAGGTTGGAAGTTTTCTTGGGCATCTTCGAACTCCTCCTGGTTCTGGTTACTCGCACCATCGTTGTCGTTGAAGTTGAACTTGTCATTAAAAGCATTGTTGTTGTTGCGGTAATGTGTCCCTGCGAATCTTGTGTCACTGACTTCATCTTGGTTGGTGGTATATGCATCGTTGTTGAAGTTGTAGAAATCAGTGTTGGGGTAGTTGCTGACATCTTTCTTAGACTCCGTTTTGTACGACTGGTAAGTGCTGCTGGGGTTGGTGGTGATGGAAGGGTTCTGACGAGACTCATAGCTAAATAGATCATAGTTCTTTTCAGTCTCTGGGATGAAGACTGGCTTCTGTTCTGGCTTGTTTAGTGGTTCTTCATTGATGGGAAACTCTGTATCTTTGGCATTGTTGTTGAAAAGGACTTCCCTGTTTCTCAAGAACTGGCTGCCTCTGGCATTGATTTGCAGAGACAACAAAAGGGTTGTTAAGAAAAAGAATGGGATGAATTTTGAGATGGGAGCCATTGATGAATGATAATAGTGAAAGAGAGGAAGATGGTATGAGATGCTGTGGTTGTTCAAGTATGTTTGTTTATATAGAGGATTTTGAACCTTCCTTTCCCCCTTCTCAATTTTATTACAAATCAAGTGCGATCGGCCGGAGGGAGGATTTTGCGATGATTGTTGTGGTCCTCATTAAGAGAAACTTTACCTGATTGAAATGCCCCGTTGTCAATCATAACCTCGTGATTGATAATTTTGATTTATTATGCATTTATTCATGTTATTATCATAGATAATTTTGATTTATTATGCATTTATTCGTGTTATTTGATTCTTAGTTTAGGATAATTTTATTTTGTGTTTATTTATATTATTTGTTTCCTAATTTAGATTGATTAGGTCCGTAAGTCACTCAATCTTAAATATTTTGTTCGCCTATTTATATGATTATAGTTTTATTTCCGGGATTTGAGTGGCCAATACCCTTAAATTTGTATCCATTTTCATTGAATTCAATTTATTCATTTTTTGTTATTTATACATATTGTTATGGGCTCCTATTCGATACTCATATTCTAGAAGGTCCAGTAGCGACAATAGAAAAAAGAAACTAAGGGAAATAAAGGAAAGAATTCCCAAATGATGTTAATCCTACTACGATAGCAATAGACCAAGCTTTGAGCCCCTAAAAGACCACAAAAAGTCCAGAATTCTACTATTTACAGGTAAAGTCTATAAATAAAAAGTAAAATTTATTGGTATGACACTTAGGGGGTATATTGGATTAGGATTTTAAAAGACTTTTTTGAGGTAAAAAATCTTATAGATTTTAAAAAACTATTTAGAATTGGAGGGATTTTAAAGACGAAGCGATGAACCGATGGAATATTTCCAAAAAAAAAATGACAATATGAATTTATAAGATTTGAAAAAACCATATGAATTTTTAACAAACATTCAAATTTACAAGAGTCAATAAAAAACAAAGAAATGTAATGAAATTAATAAAAAAAAGTAAAACCTAATATAATTTTCTCAATAGTAAAACATAATATAATTTTTAACAAACATTCAAAATTAATAAGCAACAAACTCTTCACATATCTAAAGCTATACTAGTCCTCCACGCATTAGCATTTTCTCGTTCCTGCTCTTGGGTTTGACCAATGGGTTAAAAATTATCTTCTTCATTTGGTATCATAGCTATGCGTATATGATTATAAGACCCAATTTTTTTAATTATTAAAATAATTCTAAATTTGCATATAGAACCTAAAGTTCATGATAAAATTTCGTTTGGAATTTTTTGCAATTGATATTGAAAACCTTGGGGTTTTTGTTCTACGTGATGAGAGTTTTCTAACCATATATCATATGTGTATTTTCATTAAATATTCTAAGAAAATTTCAAATCTGAATTTCTGGGTTTTATTACATGAAAGTTTAGAAAATTTCTCAACATTTTTTCAATCGATATATTGAAACCTTAAATTGCTTTGGGGCTTTTGAAAAACAAGTTTTTAGTTATCAATTAACACAAAATTGTTTGAAATCGTTTCCTATAGTGAAGGAATTTCGTTCATGAATGTATTGTTATGAAATATATTGTTCATATTATGAAAGTTTCAATTTTTCTTTAAATTGATATTGTTTCATTGATGTAAAATGAAAATTGGTTTGAGGATTTTAGTTCTCCTATTATTTTCACTATTTTATGTTGTTTTTAATACAAAAATCGCGACCATAGCTTGAAAATCATTTTTTAAACTTCTAAAATTTCTCAAAAATGGCTAAAAAAATATGCTGCTTTTTGATATAGATTATTAAAATCTCGTTGATTTATTGTTTCTGGGTTATTTTGTGGTGAAAGTCGCTAAAAAATATGCTATTTTTGAGTTTTGACGAAGCTTCCATGGCGGAACCCGATTTCGAGCGGGGACCAACCTGCCAAAGAAAGAAGAAAACACTGCAATAGATAAATCTCAAGAAATCCTAGGGATTAGGGTGAAATTGTGAGAGAAACATCCTATTTATATTTCTTACTAAAAATCTCACGAAATCCACGCCAATAGAAAATCTATTAAAATCGTTAGATTTTTGAATACCACAAGATTATTTTTCTGTTGTTTAAAATCTTGATTGAATACCAACGGATTTGGACGGACTCTAAAATAATCTTTTAAATTCCTAATCGAATACCACATGACTTTTTTTCAATCTATTAAAATCCTAATTGAATACCAATGAATTTTTTTGTCCAAAAATAATCCATTAAAAACCTTTGAAATCCCAATTCAATACACTCCCTTACTCTCTCTTACTATATGTTGTCACTGCACACTTTCCACCCATTTGGCTAAGGTGTTATACTTGTGCACAGTGATTTACCTACTTCAAAGGTATCTCCTCCATATATACCTAAGAGAGCTCTAGATCCAAGATTAATTCACTAGTCTGTGACTAGCCATCTCTATCCCTATGATAAAACACATATAATTCTTGTTTGATAATGGAGTGAGAACAATGTTTATTTCTTTATGTAAAGCAATATCATTACAAATTATATATTTTATAGTAAAATATTTTTTGGGTCCTCCACAAAAATTACGGGACCCATATTAATCTTTTAGGAAAAAAAAGTTGACTTATATGGTCCTTCTGAAATTCAAAATAGACCTAGTTGGTCGAAAGGACTAACTTGAGTTTATTTTGAATTTCAGAGGGACCACGACTTTTCTTTTCTAAGGAATTAAAATTGGCCTCATAATTTTTATTGAGTATCCAAAAGGTACTTTTCTATATATTTTATTGTGCAAAGGAGCTAATTATTTAAAGACAATGATTTTCTCTTGTTATAGGAGAAAGTGAGGAATTGAAATTTGAGCCCTTATTTAAAAAAATAAATAATGGGCCCACGATTTAGGACCCGTTTGGATGAACTTTTAAAAAAAATGTCTTTTCATGCATTGCTCTTTTTTTAAAAAAATTTCTCTAAAAGATAAAATTATTTTACGTTTGGATGTATGATCTGAAAATCACTTTTATATATAAAAAAAGTTATTTGGATGTTAAAATAAAAAAAAAAGCACTTTTTATATATAAAATTACAATAAAAGAGAGATAAAATAGCATGATCGTGGGATAAGGAGAGATAAAATAGGTATGATATGAGGAGGTTAAAATTGTATTTTAAAAATTTAAATTATCTTATTTTCAAAAAAAAATTATATTATCTTTTAATTTCTGCTTTTCTCAAAAGCAACTAACTACTGACTAAAAAAAAGCAGCATTTTAGCTTCTTCTTTTTTAAATTATTATCCAAACATCTAAAAATTCTCAAAAAGATTTTTATTTAAAAAAAAGTAACTTTTTTAGAAATAAATGCTCATCTAAAGGGTCACTTATTCTCTCTTCTCCGGAGAAGTTATTATCCCATTTTATTTAACATAGTGTTTTAAAATCTCGCCTCACCCCCGGGTTGACCCGGGTTAACCCTGACCCTTTCTCTCTGAGGATTGGGGTCACAAGTTGGATCCTATATGCATATCAACCCCTCCGACCCTCAAAACCCGGCCGGATTTCAGTGACTCCTGGGTCAGAGGGGTCAAAGGGAGTCACTGCATGTTTTTTTTTAAATAAAAATTCCATGAAACAATATTATTTTATTAAAAAAATAAATAAAAATACTTGCAAACTTAAATCTCATCGTTCTCTTCTCTCCTAGTGACTTAGACGTTTTTAATCTTCACTTCTCTGCAGTGAATTTTCTAGAAAAGGTAAGAATTTTACTCATTCAAATGAAATCCTTACGATTGTCGTTGGAAAACAAAAACTTATTTTTACTTCTTTTAAATTTTCCTTTGTTAGAGACCTTCTCAAGAGAGGCAGAATCGGGTCAGCGTAGTGACCCCATTATAATTTTACTTATGTTAAGAATATTTTGAATCTTTGATGATTGATGGTTTGTTTTTTAATATTTTCATATAGGATATATATATTTAATTTTTTTAATATATAATCGGGTCAACATAATGACTCTCTAACCCCCCGGTTGAACCCGTGACCTCTAATCTCGGCCGGGTCGATGACTGAGCCGGATTTTTAAACACTGATTTAACGCAACTTTCCCATTGACCATATCTAATTCATTGTCCTCGTATTATACGATGACAAGCCATAATACGTATTGTTTTTCCACATAAAAAAGAGAGTCATGAACTTTTGAAGAGACTACAAATAATTTGAATACTTCTCTGTATATAATAGTAATGAAAATTAAAATAAAATAAAAAATGAAAGCCTTATATGTAAATATATAAGACATAAGAACTCTTGTTGCATTTTCAAAAATATAAGAAGTTATTTGTTAAAAATGGATTTATAAGATCAATGCTATGACAACGATCAAGTGAAAAGCATACGACGCATGGGGTAATAAAAAATAAAACTCAAAGATATTAGTTCTGATGAGATATTGTCTCCAATGATTAGAATAACCACTATTAGGGTAGTACCTAGCTACGAGAGCCGCATTTAATTTACTTCTTAAACAATTTGGTGTAAATTTTTTTTTTTTGGTGGAGATCTCGGAAAAGAGATAAACATGTTCCAACTAGAAGACTTTGTGAAGAGCAAGGAATAGAAAACTCAGTTTGTAGGTTAATTATCTTTTAACGGTCCAAAATAGGAGTCTAATGTTGGTACAAGAGATTTGGTTCCTTCATAGTTGCCTCATATATAATAGACACAGTTCAGATTACTGTACATATTACGAATACTTGATCCAATCAATTGTTTGAAGTAGCCCATCTCTATGGTCCAATTCACATGACAAGTTAGTGCCTCTAAGGCCTAGCTAATTTGCACGCCATTCGGCTCAAGCCCTTGTTTTCATAACACAGCCCACTTAGCACTTGAATGATCCTGTATCATAGGATTTAAATTATACTCTTATAGGCCCAAAATCATATGCTACATTATACTCTTATGTGTGTGATCTATTAGGTTCAAATAGCCACTGA